AAGGTGTGAATCCCTCCCGGAGGATCACCGGGCCCCCTCAACCGTGTGCAGAAGCCAGGGGCCTGCCGAAAGGTATCTTAGTGGGGCTCCGCCCCAGACAGTCAAGCCACATTACAACCCCACAGTGTGGCAGCCTGGGCCGAAGGGGAGATTTGTCACTTAAGTCAATCGGTCGCTCACCTGGCGGCAGTAACGAGTCACCAGAGACCCTGCAAGCCACGGCTCTGCTGAGCGTTGTCAGCTTTACTCGCGGGCAGCACAGGCAGCATTGGCGCTGTACAACGGGCCAAGCGGACCAGTGCCCGACACCTCCCCAACCCCACAGTGTGGCAGCCTGGGCCGAAGGGGAGATTTGTCACTTAAGTCAATCGGTCGCTCACCTGGCGGCAGTAACGAGTCACCAGAGACCCTGCAAGCCACGGCTCTGCTGAGCGTTGTCAGCTTTACTCGCGGGCAGCACAGGCAGCATTGGCGCTGTACAACGGGCCAAGCGGACCAGTGCCCGACACCTCCCTGCGGTGCGGAGAACCAGCATGTGCCAGAGTACTTAGACTAGTCAGTGCTAACCACAAACGTCCTGGCTAAGCGGCTCTCACGCAGCAAAGCTCCGTAGGCATCCCTGGAGACCTCCAGGTGCCACGGCTCCTGCACACGGCCCCTAGAGCCCAGCGACCCCCAGCAGAGCAAAGGGACCCCGACAGGCCTCCACGGAAGGGAAACAAGATTCCGTAGCAATAGCTTCTCACAGTGCGCATCCATCTCCTGTCCGGTATCACCCCAGCAGCACTGAGCAAGGAACCCAGACCTCCGTAGGCATCCCTGGAGACCTCCAGGTGCCACGGCTCCTGCACACGGCCCCTAGAGCCCAGCGACCCCCAGCAGAGCAAAGGGACCCCGACAGGCCTCCACGGAAGGGAAACAAGATTCCGTAGCAATAGCTTCTCACAGTGCGCATCCATCTCCTGTCCGGTATCACCCCAGCAGCACTGAGCAAGGAACCCAGACCCGCCTGCTCTAAGATTTCTGCCCCCCGTCCCCCCAGAACTTCCTGTCTCCACTTGCCCCAGAGCGAGCAGGAACCTCTCAGACCCGTTAGGCTGGCTGACAAAATCCGTACCAGGGTTGTGGGGGCTCTGGCATCTGAGAATCCCACCTGTAACAAGGGCTTTATTCACACCCTTTGGAGCGGCAGACTACCGCTGGGAGCCCCCTGTGCTACCCAAGTAAGGGCCGTGCTGGCAAAGGCTCCAATGAACAGACACAAGCCAAGTGCAGCCGCTGCCCGCTCTGCCCAGTGGCGTAACGCTGCCACCAGTTCCCCGTCTAGGACACACAAGACCAGGGTGGCCAAGAGCCAATTCCAGGCCTCAGGCCATGTTTCTCTCAAGCTTCCTGAGGGCAAAGGAAGAGACGTTCCGCTGTGATGGTAGTGAATGAGAGAAGGGCTTGGCAGGAGGGTCGGGTCTGAGGCTGAACCCATCTCTGGATGGCCAGTGGGGCCGAACCTGGCCAGCGAGACCTACCACTGGATGTGTGCTCGAGGAGCCAGATGGCTCGGCTCAACTCGAGACAGTTCTCCTTGGGGACCCAGGTGAGGCGTGAGAGGAGGTAAGTCAACGCACAGTAATTACTGGCGCATTAGCTCACGCTGGGAGTGAGCAACAAGCTCGCCTGAGGAATGTTTCCATTCACTCCCCCATGCGGTCGCCTCCGGGGTAGAGCAGTGTTAGCCTACAGCCACACACACAGCGAGGAGTCCCAGGGCCCCTCCCACGAAGATCTAGTCGGGCCCCAGCTTCTGTGGGCAAAGCCCCACTTGCCAGAGGCATCCTCTCCATTTAACACCTGACCCGCGAGACCTCATGCCTGAATAAATTCTAGTTGGAGGGGCCCCAGGGCCCGAGGCGCTAGTTCTACGAGGCTGCTCTCCGAGCAGAGGGGAGCAGTTTCACTTCTGACCACCGAGCAACGTGCGCTTGCAGAGAGCACCGCCACCGTGCTCTGTCCTGGGACCCTGGGCACAGCGGATCTGCTTTCGGCGCTTACCCCCACGTGTGTGCGCGTCCCACCCCCGCCCCCGAGAGGATGGCAGTGTCTGCACTGCACACTTACCCTGCCAGTGCCTTTACCTTTGTTGTATGGACCTCATGACCTGATGAGCCCCCTCGCCCTGGTACAGCCAGGTGTGTTGGCTGTTCCTCACCAGATCACTCATCTTCACGTCCTGGCTCCCCATGTACTTGTGGAAGTCACGAATGTTCAGCTGTTTAAACTCCTCCAAACTCAGCACGCCTGTGGAGAAGGAAAGCAGGCCGGCCCTTCAGCCGTCTGGCAGCAGCCGCACATTTCCCTGGGAGCGCCTGCCTTCAGGGACAGCTACCTGCCAAAAGGCAGCGCAGGGTTTTACCCGTCTAAAGCATGCCATGCCATGGGCCTGCGGCTGGCTCAGAGCTGGCCTGGCCACTCACTGG